TAGAGAGGGAAACCAAGGAAGTCACGGGGATAGTGCGGGCAGTGAGCTTGTCCGTGCTAGAGGCACTAACGTGAGCAAGGCAGCCCCAGACGTGGAACGCGGGCGCGTCACAAGGTAACCTGGTCCAGAGAAGGGTCGGCGAAACCTACGGCCGCTGGGAGTGCTGCCACTGGTTAAGCTGGTGAGCGGCGTAGCGAACATCGAATGGCCACAGAAAATGGGGTGCATCGGCATGGATCATGGAGGTACGAGCCACCTCCATGACCAAACCGACGAGTCGCTCAGCAATCCCATTCTGCTGTGGGGAGTCTGGTAGGGTGTACGATTAGGTGATGCCCTCCGCACGACAGAACTGGCCAAGCCGAGCGGAGGCAAACTCGTCGCCACGGTCAGAGTGGAGACACAGCACGGGGAGGCCGCGGTGGGACGCGCATAGCTATGACCCACGGGATGAGAACGTCAGGCACATCGGCGTTCTGCTCCAGGGGAAACACCATGGTATAGCGCGTGTAGTCTCCGACAAGCACTACAAAGTAGTGCTCTCGACGCGGCCCAGGGACGGGGGGTTGGGCCCCAGACGTCTAGGTGCAGAGTCTGGAGTGGTGCGGTGGCAGGACAAAGCGAGGAGGAGTGAGGAGCATGGCGCAGCCGGCCCTCAACGCAGGGCGTGCATGGCGGCGCAGGGGAGGGAGGGAGGGTAGGGAGCGAAGCAGGGAGGCCTAGGACAAGACTGTACTGGGACATGTGACGCAGACGCAGGAGTGTGGGGTGACCTAGGCAGTGGTGCCACAAAAGCGATGGGTGAATGAGCGACGGACATGAGCAAGCCACAGCAACCTGGGTAGACGCAGGCACTTGAGGGGACGCCCTCACTAAGGGGGACTCGGTATCGAGCGTAAACAGGCCAGACACCGGGTCCCGGAGGAACGTGCTTAGGAGGGCACCTGTGGCAACATCGGTACAGATCGCGTACTGCTCGTGTCCAGGGAAGGTAATGGTGACACTGAGGTCTTGAAGACAGCCGACACCAACTAGGTTTCTAGAGAACGAGGGAATGTGCAGGCATGTAAGAGAGCCCAAGGGAACCGCCAGACAGGGAAGGGTAGTGGAGCTATGGGCAATCACTGAACCTGAAGAGGGGTTAGCAAGCACGACAGTGACAGGGGCGGCAAGCAGCGTTAGCGCAGTGTGGTCACGGAAGAAGCAGGCAGACGCACTAGAGTCAAGCGTGAAAGAGAGCAAAGCGGTAACGACAGCTGGCGGAGGGGCTAGCGTGGAGCCTAGGCTAAACAATGCAGAAGGTCCTACGCCTGACGCAGCAGGGGAGCCTAGAATACACACAAGAGGCACACATACACTAGGCAACACAGGTTAATATGGTCCAGTCACACCAGAGTCATCAGCATACATGGCATGCAAGGCAAAGCAAATATTATCCATATCCATCTCAAAGACAAGCACACGGTGATGCACCAGACTGGGCCTGTCGGGAAGGTGCGGCGCAGGGCCGAAGTGGAGACGGAACAGGTCGTCGAGGTGGCGGAACCAGCAGGCGGCAGTGTGACTGGGATGACCACACATAGTGCTGCAGAAGGGGCCGGTCTGGAGCTGGTACTGGCAACCCACAGCGCCGAAGCTGCCACCCAGCGCCGAGCTGCGAGGGCCGCCACCGCGGCCACCACCACCAGAGGCACCGGGCCACCCCGACAGGAGGCGGCCGCACCGTTGCTGCTGCTGCGATTGCTGCTGCTGCAGTTGCGACTACTGCTACTGCGGCTGCTGTTGCTGCTCCGGGGCACCAGACCCGGTCCCCTCGTCGGAACCACCATCCCAGCCCCACATCCACCACCCCACCACCCTTCCCTCTGCCACAACCCCCTTTGGGGCGGCGGCCCCTACCCTGACGCGGCTGTGCTGAGGCCACAATAGCCGTCTTAGCAGCAGGGGCTGTCTCAGTGAAGCAGCAGAGACGTCAGAGTAAGTGCACTGGGAGGGAGCATAGCCCTGAAAGATAGGAACCGCTGCAGTACCGCTAGACTGAGCGATAGTGCGCTGACTGGTCTCTATCTCGGGCAGGGCGGTGACAAAGGCGGTAAGGGTGAGGTCACCTGGGTGCTGACTAAGGAAGTGGTCATGGGCAGTGGCTAGGCGATCCGGGAGGCGCGTGGCACAAAGTGGTGGCGGGTAGGCAGTGAGCTGGGCTTCAGTGCTAGCGGCGCGGTAGCTAGCCTCAAGTGCGCGGAGGTGATTGGCTAGGTCAACAACAGTGGGGAAGACCACAACATCAGGGAACGGCATGGGGAGGATCAAGCGGCCAGCGGAGGCGGAGGCGAGCTTAGAGTAGCGCGCAACTACGACCTCTAAGAATTCCTTAGCGTTTGCTACATCGGTAAAGCGGGGACGCTCAGACAGAGGGAGGGCGTGACTAATGGCAAGCTGCGCTACGGCGTCGCGCGACTCCTAGACAGCGCGAGCAAGCGCAGCAGCGGAAAATGCCTCAAGCTCAGCAGTGGTGGGGGCATCAGGTAGGGCAGCAAGCGTGGGGGGACGGGGAAGCAAGCCATCGACATGAACAGCCAGGGAGTTTCCGTCCTAGCGCTGACTTGTCCGGTGATGGCGAAGGTTGACAAGCCACGCATCGAAGTCGATCGCCCGCCCCTCCGCATCCATGTGGAGCACAGCGTCCGCCATTGCACGAACTCAGCTACACGACGGCACGGCTCCACGGCAGCACGACGCAACGACAGTACGGCGCCACGACAGCACGACGACACGGCTCCACGGCAGCATGGCGCCACGGCTACATGGCGGCACAGCGGCACGGCGGCACAGCGACACGGCGGCACAGCGACATGGCGGCATGGTGGCACGGCTCCACGGCAACACGGCGCCACGGCGGCACGACGGCACGGCGGCACGGCAGTCCGGCTCCACGGCGGTACAGCGGGTGCGAAGCGGGCAAGAGCAGGGGCTGGCAGAAGGCGGCTGGCGAACATGGGGGCCAGCAGGCCCGTTTCGTAAAAAGTAATAGAAAATAGTAGAAAACAATGCCCCACCAAGCTCACTAGAGTTGCACCACCCTTTTCTATCCAAACGACTCTCTTCAAACTCTTGCACATAGGGTTCCTAGGCATGACCTGCAACAGCACGTGCCGTTAAGTTCACCCAACTTTTTATATCCAGGTGGAAAGCGGTCACCAGTGGGCCATGTGAGCTCGCTGTCCAAGACTGCACAGTTTTCAGCTGGAGCTCGGAAATGCGTGCAGGCTTCGTGATTCAAAATTTTCCAGGTATTTTGTGCGATTACAGAACTGCATTCAGGTGTGAATAGACCTCCCTCCCTCCACCAACCCAATGACCGTCAGAAACGGCGAAATCAAGTGTTCCATCATGTGACTTCATGCTCTGTCAAAAGCACATCAATAGTGCGAATGGTGATAAACAGCAATATAATAATTGAAACTCTTCCACACGTCACTTTCACATGCAATCCATGGTAGTTACAGCTATCCAAAGCCATGCATGCCTATTGTATTCACAGTCACTTTGCAAAAAACATACAATTATTTTTATCCGTATGTTTATTCATACCATTAAAACTGAAGTAAAAGGTGGGTCCGCATCTTGAGAAGCACAAGGGAAGCAATACACAATCGAAAGCACAAGAGGAAATAGAAAACACGTGAAACTAGATGAGTTGCTGGAATAATGGTACAACCATATGAAACTAATCTATTAGCTCGACCATCTGTCGTGGCATCATGAGCCTCATTCCTCTCGTTATCATGGTAAGTGCTTAGCTCCTTTTCTTCACTATGCCCAAACTCTTCCACCTGGTGGCCCTCTGTGGGATTGGCTGGTTGAGCATCAGGCAAACTATGTTAAGGATACAATATGCTCAAAGGCATGCTTTCTGACCAGTCAGTGTGTGATGAGAGGAGTTGGCCAGTTGCAGGTTGCTAATTTGGCATGTATGGATGACTGAACGGCAGGTGAGCTGATGCTGGCTGCTGGTATGGCGCAAATGTCAGGGCTTCGGGCATGCAAGGAGTAGCCGTGGCAGCATTAGTGAGTGTTCGTGTTGTCGGGATTGCAGCAGCAGCAGGAATTAAAGCGTTTGCAATGCACATAGCAGAAACTGAAGGTGTAGGAGCGATCGAGGCTGCAACTGTGACTGAGGGTGAAGGTGCAGCTGAGGGTACAGGTGCAACTGAGGGTACAGGTGCAACTGAGGGTACAGGTGCAACTGAGGGTACAGGTGCAGCTGAGGGTGTATCTGTACCTGAGGGTGTATCTGTACCTGAGGGTGTATCTGTACCTGAGGGTGTATCTGTACCTGAGGGTGTATGGGTGTATCTGTACCTGAGGGTGTATCTGTACCTGAGGGTGTGGCTGAAATCGAGAGTGCAGTTGCGGCTGAAGCTTCTGTGACTGATCGTCCGTGAAGAGCGGCAAGGAAGGTTGCATCCTGCATAGTGACAGGCAGAAACGCACTAATGGAAGAGAAGGGAGCTCCCTGGGAGAGGCATGCACCGCAGCTGGAGTGGTGTGCTAGAGGACTGCTGCTTAGGTAAGAGAATGGCAGGGTCAGAAGGGTTTTGTTGAAGGAAGGGAGCGATAGGAGAGGAGACAGCCAGATTGGCAGGTGCTGCAGCAGTTTTAGCAGCTGATACTACATCCACAGGTACTGCAGCAGCTAGTGAAAGATATTCAGCAGCAGCAGCACAGCAGCACCAGCAAAAACAGCAGCACCAGCAACAACAGCAGCACCAGCAACAACAGAAGCACCAGCAACAACAGCAGCACCAGCAGCACAAGCACCACCAGCAGCACCAGCAGCACCAGCAGCATCAGCAACAACAGCAGCACTAGCAGCACCAGCAGCACCAGAAGCACCAGCAGCACCAGCAGCACCACCTGCAGCCCCAGCAACCACAGGAGCCCCAGCAGCCGCTGCAGAGATGAGTGAGCAGAGAGTTGATTTGTTTAATTCAGGCCTGTCCATGGTAAAATGTTTACTCCTATAGAAGTGTACATAAGTCATGCATTTATGTTACACGTTTAGATCAAGATCCATCTTCACTGCAGCACTGGCATTGCCATCATTCTCAGAGCTCTGGGCCTTGTCCACAGCTGTCCTTTCGTTACAATGGTAAGCGCTCCTTCCCTCCCCGCCTCTACTATCTCCAGACCAATCCGTCTGTGGCGTAACCGTGTGATGACTGCCTGATGCTTGAACCGGCTTTGCATCAGGCAGGTACTGCAAAGGATGCAGAGTGCTCACCGGCAAACTTCTTCCCTCCCCTCCTCTACCACTCACAGGCACACTATCCGACCAGCAAGTACCGGTACATGCCAGGCGAAATTGGCTAGTTGCAGGTTGCTGAACTGGCAGTGGCGGCTGAGCCAGCGGAAGCTGAGCTGGTGCTAGCTGCTTGTGTGGCATAGATGAAGCAGCAGCCGCAGCTCCGGCGTATGTGGTCGGTGCAGGGAAAGCAGCTGCAGCAGAGAATGCAGCAAGGATGACGGTGTCAGCAAGGCTCGATGCTGTAACTGAGTGTGTTGATGCAACTGATGGTGTAGCCTTAACTGACGGTGCAGCTGTGACTGATAGTGCAGCTCTAACCGACGCTCCAGCTGTAGCTGATGCTGGAGCTTTGGATGATTGTGCAAGCACAAGAGATGCAGGAATGGCTTCATCCTGCATTGCCCTGGGTAGAGAGGACAAGACCAGAGAGGACAGGTTTGGAGAGGACAGGTTCGGAGAGAACAGGTTCGGAGAGGACAGGTTCGGAGAGGACCGGACCGGTAGAGAAGAACCCTCCCTGGGTGCGTATGTTGCAGGTAATGGTGCCACCTGCTGCTGCTGCTGCTGCTGCTGCTGCTGCTGCTGCTGCTGCCCAGCAGCCAGGTGGGCTGGTGCTGCCCGTGCAGCAGGATGCCCAGCAGTCACTGCAGCAGCGAGAGAGATAAGTTTGGCCACAGCACCAGCAGCACTGGGAGTCGAGTGAGCTGTCGGAAAGTATCTTACCTGTTCTGGTCCCTGGGGCGCCTCTCCTCCTCCTTCACAACATAATTCCCCTGGTTCCCCTGCTTCCCCCTTCATCACCCTCCGGGTGCTGTGATATGAGGCCGCAGCACCTGTACAGTCCTCACGTGCAGTTATGAGTGGGTGTGTGGGTGGCATACCAGTGCATGAGGTGGTCGATGCGGCAGTGAATCTGTTTGGCAGTGGAGCATTAACAGTGGCAGCGAAAGCGGAGGAAGCAGCAGCAGAAGCGGCAGCAGAAGCGGCAGCAGAAGCAGCAGCAGCAGCCGCAGCAGAGGGGGTATTGGCAGCCGCAGCAAGGGCAGCAGCAAGGATGGCAGCAGCGTGTAGCTGATGCTGCTGCTGTTGCTGCTGCTGTTGCTGCTGCTGCTGCTGCAGCCACAGCAGCCATTGCTGAGCCACATTCGGTAGAGCCCCCACAAACAAGTTCTGTGCGGGTGCTGCAGCAGCTGCTGCTGCCAGCCTGCCTACATCCCAGCCTGGCACAGCGCGCGGCAAAGGCGTGGATATTCCTGATTCTGCTCCTGCTGCTGCCCCTCCTCCTCCTCCTCCTCCTCCTCCTCCTCCTGCTGCTGCTGCTGCTGCTGCTGCCGCTCCTCGTGCTCCTCCTGCTCCTGCTCTTCCCGCCCCTCCCTCTCCTCCTGCTCCTGCTGCTGCTGCTGCTCCTGCTGCTCCTGCTACTGGTGTGCTTCCCACGAAGCTGCTTGCCAACGCCAGTAGCATGTCACTGGTTGCCGCAATGCCACCCTGCAGCGGATAATTGCTGTCATGCGAGTGTGACAGGCTGGCACCACTAGCAGCCAGCACAAATGATTTCCTGGTGCTCGTGGTGGTGGTGGTGGTAGTGGTGGTGGTGCTGCTGCCCCTGCTGCTGCTGCTGCTGCTGCTGTTGGTGCAGGCAGCGTTACTGGCACCAGACTGCACCAGGGGGAATGATGACTGATGCATCCGGCTGCTCCCCCCTGCTGTGGCCACTTTCCTTCCAAGCCCAAACTCCAGAGAACTGTCGGGCCCCTGCCACCAGCGCTGTGAAGTGCTGGTGGTAGGCTGGCACCAGTTTTAGCCGGCACAAAGGAACTGCTGCCGGTGCTGGGCCCCCTGGCACCTCCAACTTGTGGCATGCCAGCTGCAGCACTGGAAGTGCCAAAGCCGCTCTTGGCAAGAGCACGAGCTCTTGCAAGAGCGCCCATGGGATCTTTGTTGCCATGAGTGGGAGCAGGGCCAGAAGATGCCACAGTTGCTGCTGGTGCAGGTGCTGCTGGTGCAGTTGCTGCTGGTGCAGTTGCTGCTGGTGCAGCTGCTGCAGCATCATTCGCAGCAGCAGTAACAGTGGCAGCATTAGCGGCAGTAGCACCCGGAGTGGCAGTAGCATCAGCTGCAGAGGCTGCAGCAGAAGCTGCACCGGTAGCTGCTGCTGTTCCTGGTGCCGCACCCGCAGCAGCAGCAGCACCAGCAGCAGCAGCAGCAGCAGCAGCCGCACCAGCAGAACCTGAACCCGCAGCAGCAGCAGCGGCAGCAGCCGCACCAGCAGCACCCGCACCCGCAGCAGCAGCAGCAGCAGCAGCTTCAGATCGCATCTCTTCCTTTAACTCTGCAGCAAACCGAGCAGCCAGGGAGAGGGTTGTGCGGCGGGGGTTGTCGGGAGGAGGGTGCGAGTGCTGCCCGAGAAACGCCACCTGGGGCTGCGGCTGCGGCGAGCTGGGAGGGGGCTTCTGCAAGGGTATGTCCATGGTCTTCTTGGCCTGGCACCCCGCCGCGTGCTGCGCGCAGCGGAAATAGGCCCTGGAGGGGAGAGATAGTTGTGAAGGAAAATAGAAAATGAAGGCAGGGGAGAGTGTTGCACCGTAGGGGTGGTCGGGAGGCGGGTGTGAGTGCTTTTTCTAGAAACACCACATGGGGCAGCGGCCCCGGCTTACACTGGGGGAGGGGGAGGGGGGAGGGAGGAGGTGGGGAGGGGGTGGTGGGGGGAGGAGGAGAGGGGGGGGGGGGCATGGGTATCTCCATGGCCTTTCTTGGTCTGACTTGCCATTGCATGCTGGGTACAGCGAAACATGAACTGGAGGCGAGAGGAGTGAGATAGGGCATGAGGTGGAGAGGAGAGGGGGGGTGAGGGGGGGTGAGGGGGGGTGCAGGAGGGGAAGAGGCGGATGACCATGGCTTCTTGGCCTGGCACCCTGCTGTGTGCTGCGCGCAGCGAAAATGGGCTCTGGAGGGATGGGGGGTTGTTTGGGACGAGGTGAGGAGGGGAGGGGGGATGGAGGAGGGGAAGGAAGGTATGTCCATGGGTGCTTGGTTGGCCTGGCATCCTGATGTTTGCTAGGCACAACGGTAATAGGCTCTGGAGAGGTGAGAATGGGTCGTGAGAGGCAGATTTGGAGAGGGGGTTTGGATGGGAAAGGAATGGGTATCCAGGGTTGGCTTCAACAAAGCCCAAGTTGGGCCTTGATCGAGCATAGCGATGCACTCAGCAAGGTAGGGTCTAGGGAGGTAGTGACTAGGTGGGGGGAGGAGTGTGCATTCTCACTCATTCACTCACTCACCGAGTGTAATCTCACCCACACCTTCACTCCCTCACTCACCATGCATCGTCTCATTCACCCACTCACCCTCTCCGTGCGTAGTCTCACTCAGTCCCTCCCTCACTCAATCACTCCCTCACTGTGTGGAGTCTCAATCACTCACTCCCTCTTTCACTCTCCATGTGTAGTCTCACTCCCTCCCTCACTCACTCACTCCCTCACTCACCGTGTGGAGTCTCACTCACTCACTCACTCCCTCACTCACTCACCCACTCACCGTTTGTAGAATCACTCACTCACTCTCTCATTCACCGTGCGTAGTCTCCCTCTCTCCCTCCAAAAGTCCCTCACTCCCTCACTCCCTCACTCACCTTGTGTACTCTCACTTTCTCCCTCACTCACTCATTCCCTCACTCGCCGCATGTAGCCTCACTCACTCACTTTCACTTTCTCTCATGTGTATTCTCACTCAATCCCTCACTCACTCCCTCACTTACTGTTTGTAGTCTCACTCCTTCCCCCACTCACTCACTCATTCAATTACCATATGTAGTCGCACTCACACTCACTCCCTCCCTCACTCACCGTGTGGAGTCTTCACTCCATCCCTCCCTCCCTCAATCCCTCACTCACTCGCTTCCCCCACTCCCTCACTCACCATGTGTTGTCTCACTCACTCACTCACTCCCTCACTCACCATGTGTTGTCTCACTCACTCCCTCACTCACCGTGCATAAACTCTCTCCATCAGCACCTTCTGTCCGTACTTGAGCCAGTGGTACCGGTCCCCTTCACTCCCCTCTCTCTCCTCCCCTTGTCCTTCTCGCCTGCTCTCCTCTGCTTCATCCTCGCTCCTCTCTTTCCCTCCCTTCTCTTCCCCCTCCTTTGCCACCTTCTCTTCTCTCTCCTTTTCTCCCTCCTGTGCCCCCTTCCCTCCAACGCACGCCCGTTTCTGCGCCAGCTCCGTATCCTGCTCCGTTGTCTCCTCTTGGAAAGCCCTTCCACTGCCCGTCGATTTGCCAGGCCTGTGCAACTCCTCCACTGGCACCTGAACTTTCTCCTGAACTTTCTCCTGGACCACCTGCTCCCGCTGATAGCCTTGTTCCTCCCTTATCCTCCCCTTCTCGCCAGGCCGTTTCTCCATCTTCCTTCTCCTCTTAGCAGCGGTGAAGTCACGCGTCAACCCGTCCCCCACCTCCCCTCCCCCTCCCTCCTGCACCGGTGCATCACACCCACCAGCATGCGACTGAACCTCCATGGGCGTCCCACCCTCTTCCCCACTCACCCTCCGTGCTACCTCCAGCTCCATTGCCCCCCCTCGTTCCCTCCCCCTGCCTCCTCTCCCGCCTCTTCCTTCTCCTACTCGTTCTGACGGCACAGCTGCCCACCACAAGCCCCCTGCTCCCTCGTTATAAGCCGCCTCAAAACCCCCTCGGCCCCTCCCCCTGCCTCCACACCCATCCCTTTCTCCTACTCGCTCTGACGGCACAGCTGGCGATCCCAAGGCCCCTGCTCCCTCGGTGGATGGTGGCTCCGCTATAGGCTCTTCTTTACACTTGAAAGATGGCTGCTCCTCGTTGTGCCCATGAAAGTACCCCTCCCCTTGCCCCTCCCCTTGCCCCTTCTCTCGCCCCTCCTCCTGTCCCTCCGCTTGCTCCTGATTTTCCCGCTTCGCTCCCGATTCCTCTAGCTCTCCCGAGTTGCCGTGCCCGTGCGTGGGAGCAGAGAGGGGGTGAGGCTGGGTGGTGCTTCTGTCGTCGAATGATGCATGCTGCTCGCTAGGGCGAATGGGGGCGTTTTGTCGAGCTGGGATCCTGCACCATGGAGGGAGGGAGGGAGAGAGGAGGGAGGGGGGGAGGGAGGGAGGGCTTTATAGTCCATAGACGCCTAGGTGCTTGTTTCGGGATGATGCAAGATGCTCGCTAGGGCGAATGGGGGCGTTTTGTGGAGCGGAGATCCTGCATCAGGGAGGGAGGGAGGGAGGGAGGGAGAGAGAGAGGAAGGGAGGGCTTCTGAGGATCCTGTGTTAAAGTGGGTGCGGATGCCTTTGCGGGACGATGCATGATGCTTGTTAGGGTGAATGGGGGCATTGTATTGAGCTGGGATCCTGCACCACAGAGGGAGGGCGGGAGGGACGGACGGACGGACGGACGGCGGGAGGGAGAAAGGGAGGGAGGGAGGGACGGCGGGGGGGAGAAAGGGAGGGAGGGAGGGACGGCGGGAGGGAGGGAGGGAGGGAGGGAGGGAGGGAGGGAGGGAGGGAGGGAGGGAGGGAGGGAGGGAGGGAGGGAGGGAGGGAGGGAGGGAGGGAGGGAGGAGGAGGGAGGGAGGGAGGGTTGGAGGGAGGGAGGGAGAGGGAGAGGGAGGGAGCGATTAAGGATTCTTTGGGCGCCAAAAATCAAGTAGCATGTGGGCGCTCGTGGCACGGGATGATGCGTGGGGCTCGTGAGGGTGAATGGGTGCAGTGTGTGCTGGCGCTGAGATCCAGCATCAGGGATTCAGGGGGGGAAGGAGGGTGTAGGAGAGGAAGGGAAGGCATTCGAGGCTCGAATCCACGGGACGATGCGTGGTGGCGCTGGTGAGGGTGAATGGGTGCAGTGTGTGCTTGCACCACACACTGCACCCATTCACCCTATCAGGGAGGGAGGGAAGGAGGGGGTGGGGTGGTGGGACTTTTGAGTCGACTCGAGGGTCACCGTGTTAGGGTGAATGGATGCAGTGTGTGCTGGAGCTGAGATCCTAAATCAGGGAGGGAAGGAGGGGATGGGGTGGGACTTTTGAGTTGACTCAAATGTCACCTAGGGTGAATGGGTGCAGTGTGTGCTGGAGCTGAGATTCTGTATCACGAAGGAAGGAGGGGTTGGGAGGGAGGGGGGAAGGAGGGGGAAGGAGGGGGGAAGGAGGGGGGAAGGAGGGGGAAGGGGGGGGAAGGAGGGGGAAGGAGGGGGGAAGGAGGGGGGAAGGAAGGGGTGGGAGAGGGAGGGAGGGGGGAAGGAGGGGGCGGGAAAGGGAGGGAGGAGGGAAGGAGACAAGGCAAGACGGGACAGGCAAGATATGGGCAGACAAGGTATGAGCTATTATTGAGGCGCTTCAAAAACCGACTCTTGCGACAGGGGCTGGCAGGCGGCAATTGTGACAGGATGGAAGCATTACTAAGGCAGTATGGCACATAATCAGGTACAGTGAATGGGAAACGAAAGCTAGAGAGGTAGAAAGGCAACAAGGAATCAGAGCAACAGGAGACGAAAAATCCGCGTGTACCTGAAAGGAAAAAACCATTGTGTGCACTCAAGTGGCACCACGTGTACCAAAGAATGCTCAACGAGTATGCGTGCACGACAGGACATGTGCTGTTGCGTAGCACGTGCTTTTCTTATGACTCAGTCGGATTGAGAAACGTGGAAGCAGCAGAGAGCGTATAGAGCTGCCACGGCAAGGGAAAGGGCCATCACAGAAGGGTCGATTTTTGAGTCGACTCAAAAATCGACTCACTGCCACGGCAAGTGAAAGAGCCATCACAGAAGGGTCGCTCGCTCGTGTGCGTGCTGCACACGGGCTTTCCAGCACAGGCTTGGTAGGACAGGCTTTCCAACGCAGGCTCGGTGGGACTGGCTTGGTAGGACATGCTTTCCAACGCAGGCTCGATGGGACTGGCTTGGAAGGACAGGCTCGATAGGAAACTTGGTAGGACAGGCTTGATAGGAAACTTGGTAGGACAGCCTTGGTAGGACAGGCTTGCTAGGACAGGCTTGATAGGACAGGCTTGATAGGACGGGCTTGGTAGGACAGGCTTGGTAGGACAGGCTTGGAAGGACAGGCCTGATAGGACAGGCTTGATAGGGCAGGCTTGGTAGGACAGGCTTGGAAGGACAGGGTTGGTAGGACAGGCTTGGAAGGACAGGCCTGATAGGACAGGCTTGAAAGGGCAGGCTTGGTAGGACAGGCTTGGTAGGACAGGCTTGGTAGGACAGGCTTGATAGGACAGGATTGGTAGGACAGGCTTGGTAGGCCAGGCTTGGTTGGACAGGCTTGGTAGGCCAGGCTTGATAGGACAGGCTTGATAGGACAGGCTTGATAGGGCAGGCTTGGTAGGACAGGCTTGGTAGGACAGGATTGGTAGGACAGGCTTGGTAGGACAGGCTAGATAGGACAGGATTGGTAGGACAGGCTTGGTAGGACAGGCTAGATAGGACAGGATTGGTAGGACAGGCTTGGTAGGGCAGGCTTGATAGGACAGGTTTGGTAGGACAGGCTTGGTAGGCCAGGCTTGGTTGGACAGGCTTGGTAGGCCAGGCTTGATAGGACAGGCTTGATACGACAGGATTAGTAGGACAGGCTTGATAGGACAGGCTTGGTAGGACAGGCTTGAAAGGATAGGCCTGATAGGACAGGCTTGATAGGGCAGGCTTGGTAGGACAGGCTTGGTAGGACAGGCTTGGTAGGACAGGTTTGGTAGGACAGGCTTGGTAGGACAGGCTTGATAGGACAGGCTTGATAGGACAGGCTTGGTAGGACAGGCTTGGAAGGATAGGCCTGATAGGACAGGCTTGATAGGGCAGGCTTGGTAGGACAGGCTTGGTCGGACAGGCTTGGTAGGACAGGCTTGATAGGACAGGATTGGTAGGACAGGCTTGGTAGGACAGGCTTGATAGGACAGGCTTGATAGGACAGGCTTGACAGTACAGGCTTGAAAGGACAGGCCTGATAGGACAGGCTTGATAGGGCAGGCTTGGTAGGACAGGCTTGGTAGGACAGGCTTGGTAGGACAGGCTTGATAGGACAGGATTGGTAGGATAGGCTTGGTAGGACAGACTTGATAGGACAGGCTTGATAGGACAGGCTTGATAGTACAGGCTTGAAAGGACAGGCCTGAAAGGACAGGCTTGATAGGGCAGGCTTGGTAGGACAGGCTTGGTTGGACAGGCTTGGTAGGACAGGCTTGGTTGGACAGGCTTGGTAGGACAGGCTTGGTAGGACAGGCTTGGTAGGACAGGCTAGATAGGACAGGATTGGTAGGACAGGCTTGGTAGGACAGGCTAGATAGGACAGGATTGGTAGGACAGGCTTGGTAGGGCAGGCTTGATAGGACAGGTTTGGTAGGACAGGCTTGGTAGGCCAGGCTTGGTTGGACAGGCTTGGTAGGCCAGGCTTGATAGGACAGGCTTGATACGACAGGATTAGTAGGACAGGCTTGATAGGACAGGCTTGGTAGGACAGGCTTGAAAGGATAGGCCTGATAGGACAGGCTTGATAGGGCAGGCTTGGTAGGACAGGCTTGGTAGGACAGGCTTGGTAGGACAGGTTTGGTAGGACAGGCTTGGTAGGACAGGCTTGATAGGACAGGCTTGATAGGACAGGCTTGGTAGGACAGGCTTGGAAGGATAGGCCTGATAGGACAGGCTTGATAGGGCAGGCTTGGTAGGACAGGCTTGGTCGGACAGGCTTGGTAGGACAGGCTTGATAGGACAGGATTGGTAGGACAGGCTTGGTAGGACAGGCTTGATAGGACAGGCTTGATAGGACAGGCTTGACAGTACAGGCTTGAAAGGACAGGCCTGATAGGACAGGCTTGATAGGGCAGGCTTGGTAGGACAGGCTTGGTTGGACAGGCTTGGTAGGACAGGCTTGATAGGACAGGCTTGGCGAACAGGCTTGAAAGGATATGCCTGATAGGACAGGCTTGATAGGGCAGGCTTGGTAGGACAGGCTTGGTAGGACAGGCTTGGTAGGACAGGTTTGGTAGGACATGCTTGGTAGGACAGGCTTGATAGGACAGGCTTGATAGGACAGGCTTGATAGGACAGGCTTGGTAGGACAGGCTTGGAAGGATAGGCCTGATAGGACAGGCTTGATAGGGCAGGCTTGGTAGGACAGGCTTGGTAGGACAGGCTTGGTAGGACAGGCTTGATAGGACAGGATTGGTAGGATAGGCTTGGTAGGACAGGCTTGATAGGACAGGCTTGATAGGACAGGCTTGATAGTACAGGCTTGAAAGGACAGGCCTGAAAGGACAGGCTTGATAGGGCAGGCTTGGTAGGACAGGCTTGGTTGGACAGGCTTGGTAGGACAGGCTTGGTTGGACAGGCTTGGTAGGACAGGCTTGGTAGGACAGGCTTGGTAGGACAGGCTAGATAGGACAGGATTGGTAGGACAGGCTTGGTAGGACAGGCTAGATAGGACAGGATTGGTAGGACAGGCTTGGTAGGGCAGGCTTGATAGGACAGGTTTGGTAGGACAGGCTTGGTAGGCCAGGCTTGGTTGGACAGGCTTGGTAGGCCAGGCTTGATAGGACAGGCTTGATACGACAGGATTAGTAGGACAGGCTTGATAGGACAGGCTTGGTAGGACAGGCTTGAAAGGATAGGCCTGATAGGACAGGCTTGATAGGGCAGGCTTGGTAGGACAGGCTTGGTAGGACAGGCTTGGTAGGACAGGTTTGGTAGGACAGGCTTGGTAGGACAGGCTTGATAGGACAGGCTTGATAGGACAGGCTTGGTAGGACAGGCTTGGAAGGATAGGCCTGATAGGACAGGCTTGATAGGGCAGGCTTGGTAGGACAGGCTTGGTCGGACAGGCTTGGTAGGACAGGCTTGATAGGACAGGATTGGTAGGACAGGCTTGGTAGGACAGGCTTGATAGGACAGGCTTGATAGGACAGGCTTGACAGTACAGGCTTGAAAGGACAGGCCTGATAGGACAGGCTTGATAGGGCAGGCTTGGTAGGACAGGCTTGGTTGGACAGGCTTGGTAGGACAGGCTTGATAGGACAGGCTTGGCGAACAGGCTTGAAAGGATATGCCTGATAGGACAGGCTTGATAGGGCAGGCTTGGTAGGACAGGCTTGGTAGGACAGGCTTGGTAGGACAGGTTTGGTAGGACATGCTTGGTAGGACAGGCTTGATAGGACAGGCTTGATAGGACAGGCTTGATAGGACAGGCTTGGTAGGACAGGCTTGGAAGGATAGGCCTGATAGGACAGGCTTGATAGGGCAGGCTTGGTAGGACAGGCTTGGTAGGACAGGCTTGGTAGGACAGGCTTGATAGGACAGGATTGGTAGGATAGGCTTGGTAGGACAGGCTTGATAGGACAGGCTTGATAGGACAGGCTTGATAGTACAGGCTTGAAAGGACAGGCCTGAAAGGACAGGCTTGATAGGCCAGGCTTGGTAGGACAGGCTTGGTTGGACAGGCTTGGTAGGACAGGCTTGGTTGGACAGGCTTGGTAGGACAGGCTTGGTAGGACAGGCTTGGTAAGACAGGCTAGATAGGACAGGATTGGTAGGACAGGCTTGGTAGGACAGGCTAGATAGGACAGGATTGGTAGGACAGGCTTGGTAGGGCAGGCTTGATAGGACAGGTTTGGTAGGACAGGCTTGGTAGGCCAGGCTTGGTTGGACAGGCTTGGTAGGCCAGGCTTGATAGGACAGGCTTGATACGACAGGATTAGTAGGACAGGCTTGATAGGACAGGCCTGGTAGGACAGGCTTGATAGGACAGGCTTGATAGGACAGGCTTGGTAGGACAGGCTTGGAAGGATAGGCCTGATAGGACAGGCTTGATAGGGCAGGCTTGGTAGGACAGGTTTGGTCGGACAGGCTTGGTAGGACAGGCTTGATAGGACAGGATTGGTAGGACAGGCTTGGTAGGACAGGCTTGATAGGACAGGCTTGATAGGACAGGCTTGATAGTACAGGCTTGAAAGGACAGGCCTGATAGGACAGGCTTGATAGGGCAGGCTTGGTAGGACAGGCTTGGTTGGACAGGCTTGGTAGGACAGGCTTGATCGGACAGGCTTGGCAGGACAGGCTTGAAAGGATATGCCTGATAGGACAGGCTTGATAGGGCAGGCTTGGTAGGACAGGCTTGGTAGGACAGGCTTGGTAGGACAGGTTTGGTAGGACATGCTTGGTAGGACAGGCTTGATAGGACAGGCTTGATAGGACAGGCTTGGTAGGACAGGCTTGGAAGGACAGGCCTGATAGGACAGGCTTGATAGGGCAGGCTTGGTAGGACAGGCTTGGTAGGACAGGCTTGGTAGGACAGGCTTGATAGGACAGGATTGGTAGGATAGGCTTGGTAGGACAGACTTGATAGGACAGGCTTGATAGGACAGGCTTGATAGTACAGGCTTGAAAGGACAGGCCTGAAAGGACAGGCTTGATAGGGCAGGCTTGGTAGGACAGGCTTGGTTGGACAGGCTTGGTAGGACAGGCTTGGTTGGACAGGCTTGGTAGGACAGGCTTGGTAGGACAGGCTTGGTAGGACAGGCTAGATAGGACAGGATTGGTAGGACAGGCTTGGTAGGGCAGGCTTGATAGGACAGGTTTGGTAGGACAGGCTTGGTAGGCCAGGCTTGGTTGGACAGGCTTGGTAGGCCAGGCTTGATAGGACAGGCTTGATACGACAGGATTAGTAGGACAGGCTTGATAGGACAGGCTTGGTAGGACAGGCTTGAAAGGATAGGCCTGATAGGACAGGCTTGATAGGGCAGGCTTGGTAGGACAGGCTTGGTAGGACAGGCTTGGTAGGACAGGTTTGGTAGGACAGGCTTGGTAGGACAGGCTTGATAGGACAGGCTTGATAGGACAGGCTTGGTAGGACAGGCTTGGAAGGATAGGCCTGATAGGACAGGCTTGATAGGGCAGGCTTGGTAGGACAGGCTTGGTCGGACAGGCTTGGTAGGACAGGCTTGATAGGACAGGATTGGTAGGACAGGCTCGGTAGGACAGGCTTGATAGGACAGGCTTGATAGGACAGGCTTGATAGTACAGGCTTGAAAGGACAGGCCTGATAGGACAGGCTTGATAGGGCAGGCTTGGTAGGACAGGCTTGGTTGGACAGGCTTGGTAGGACAGGCTTGATAGGACAGGCTTGGCAGGACAGGCTTGAAAGGATATGCCTGATAGGACAGGCTTGATAGGGCAGGCTTGGTAGGACAGGCTTGGTAGGACAGGCGTGGTAGGACAGGTTTGGTAGGACATGCTTGGTAGGACAGGCTTGATAGGACAGGTTTGGTAGGACAGGCTTGATAGGACAGGCTTGGTAGGACAGGCTTGGAAGGATAGGCCTGATAGGACAGGCTTGATAGGGCAGGCTTGGTAGGACAGGCTTGGTAGGACAGGCTTGGTAGGACAGGCTTGATAGGACAGGATTGGTAGGATAGGCTTGGTAGGACAGGCTTGATAGGACAGGCTTGATAGGACAGGCTTGATAGTACAGGCTTGAGAGGACAGGCCTGATAGGACAGGCTTGATAGGGCAGGCTTGGTAGGACAGACTTGGTTGGACAGGCTTGGTAGGACAGGCTTGGTAGGACAGGCTTGATAGGACAGGTTTGGTAGAACAGGCTTGATAGGAAACTTGGTAGGACAGGCTTGGTAGGACAGGCTTGGTGGGACGGGCTTGGTAGGACAGGCTTGGAAGGACTGGCCTGATAGGACAGGCTTGATGGCAGGCTTGGTAGGACAGGCTTGATAAGACAGGTTTGGTAGGACAGGCTTGGAAGGAGAGGCCTGATAGGACAGGCTTGATAGGGCAGGCTTGGTAGGACAGGCTTGGAAGGAGAGGCTTGATAGGACAGGCTTGGTAGGACAGGCCTAGTAGGGCAGGCTTGGTAGGACAGGCTTGGAAGGACAGGCTCGATAAGACAGGTTTGGTAACAGGCTTGATATGACAGGCTTGAGGGCAGGCTTGGAAGGGCAGGCTTGATAGGACAGGCTTGATAGCACAGGCTTGGTAGGACAGGCTTGATAGGACAGGCTTGGTAGGACAGGGTTGATAGGACAGGCTTGGTAGGGCACGCTTTGTAGCACATGCTTTTTAGGGCAGGATTCGTAGCACAGGTTGTAGCATAGGCCGTAACTTAGTCTCTAGCACGTGCTGTGTAGCACAAGACGGTCACCCATCAGGTGAAAAAAACTGCCACGTTTGACACTGGAAGGTAGACTTGAAAGCTATAAGCCACAGGCAGGGGTACTGATTCAAAGGGGAGCTGAATACCGGATACAAACCGGCTGAGGAAAGAGCAGGGGAGCTGGGGCTAAGTGAGACGCGGTGGTGGGACGAGAGAACGAAAGGGGAGGCCAAAAGGCAGCCAAAGGCAGCAACAAACAAATATATTGGGGATGGACGAGGGGGGAGGGGGGCGGGGAGTGGGGGAAATCGGGCTGCGGTGATCAGGCGGGCTGGAGGCTTGGTTAGGCGTTTTCACCTCTCCCTACTTCTGCAGATGATGACCCATAGAGATCATTACCAGGAATGTTCTCTGCCTCCACAGATCTTGGATCCCGGATCACTGAACGCTCGTTGTTGCTGCCCCGAAGAAGGCGGCACGGGAAAACTTTGCACTGCCGCCGCATTTCCGAAAACTGCATTCTGTGCCTGCGAAGTTTCTCTCTCCGCAGTCGACGCTGCCGCGAGGTCAGTACTGTTTCCGCTCCGTTCATTCCATGGACGATTTCCCGCATGCGCTGGCAGGAAATGCTGCAGGGACAGGTTCTTAGGAAGGAGGAAAAGCCCCCCCATCTGCTGATAACGATCCGGCTGAGCACTACTACCTATGTTACTACTACGACTACTATTATTGACACTTTCCTGCTTTGCTACTGTATTCTCCGATTTTCCTGATGACCTATCACAGCTGTTAGCAGTACCATCATTCGTTCCTTGGTGACTCATTGCCAAAAGGCCGCAGTTCTTGATTGGTGCTGGTTGATGCGGCTACTTGAGAAGTAGTAGACGCGGGATGCAGTTGCTGCTGAAACCCTGGCTCTTGGATGTGGAAGCCGTTCGAGAGCGAGCTTGATTTTGTGGCTGCTGTAGAAGTTGCAATGCAATTCTGTATGGATGGATTGCACATGTGAAGCAGGCAGGGGCACGGGACGGGAGTCCTTGTTTGCAGCTCTCAGCAGCCGCCCACGTTGGGTCAAAGGTGCAGTGGGCGACAATTCGCGCAGAAGTGAGCGTGGGGCGGAGCGGAGCGGAAGTTCGAGGGGGTGGGGGGAGAATGTGGCCCTTGCTGTACTCTACCTTCTGAACGAAACCACAGCTGGCCTGCTGGAGTGGGGAAGACCATGTGCTCAAGGTGACCTGATTTGGCTCGGCTGCCCGACCGCCTGCACAAAATGGCGGTGGTGAGTCTGCAACAGGGCTCTCGGCTCAAGGGTAAACATCCGGAATGTCAGGTACATTCCGGGTCTTTCCCGCTGAAATCCTGATTTTGAGGATTTCGGCCTCCCCAACCTCCTGACTGATTCTGGACGTCTCCAAGGAAATCCCTGAGCAATCCGGATTGCGCAAAAATTTGTCCTGGCTATCCGACTGGTATGGAAAAAACCCGTGCCGGAATTGCAACCTCACCCCGGACCAATTTCCACGCAATCTGAAGGTGCGACCTGTGGAACATCCACAGCCGCACAAGCGCAGGGCGATCAGACTAATCATACCCCCTTACCATCTAAGCCAGGTTGGGCACTGTCACTCTCACTAAGTTCTATGCATTTCTGTCGCGATGGACAATCAAAGTGTGGAACTTGGTGTGTTGGTGAGGGACAGCAGCAGCAGGAAGCAGGTGTTTTGCATTCTCTTCCATCGTTTCTTCCATCTTTGTCCTTCCTGCTTTCTCGAACTGCCCAAAGGTTCTACTGATATGTAGGGCGTTCCGAAAAACGCTCTTAATTTCAGATTGAAAGTTCGAAGTGATCCTGAAATAAAGAGAGATTTCCCAGGGAATGCTGATTTTTCAGGGTCTTCAGTGACGCGAATCCTGAGCCTTCTGGGTTTGAAAAACGAAAAACCACCCCTGGTCGGCAAGGGCAAGGACGAGTGGGAAGGCAACGGCTAACAACAGAGATTTTGAAACTGGTGCGGTCTCGGCATAAGGACGGTGTCCTCGTACTGTAGCTGGGCAGCAACCGAAACACATGATTCCACTCATGCAATATAATTGAACTACGAATCTCAGGGTGCCACTTCAGCCTCGATTGCTGCCTGAAACAAAGCAGAAGGGGAAACAGAAGAGCAGAGGGCAACGTTCGGCATGGATTTTTATACACCCGGAAACGAGTTTTGTGCCCGAAACCAGAACATTTCACACAACAAAACGCCCATTCATAACGGGGCCGGTGATGGGTTTGGATGCTTCCGATCAATGCAGTGCCATCCATCGCAACCTGCGAGAACTCGACCTAGCGAATCCTGCCCATTCCCTCCATCCTGGGCGGAACAAGCCATTCACCCATACGATAACATGACTGACCGCATACCAGACCGCAAATAAAAGGCTTTAATCTGCAGTGAGAAAAATGCGGTGTCGCGAAGAGGTGTACAATGACTTATGTTACGCTCATAGTCTGAATAGGGGATTTACCTGATAACCACCAAGACATCATCCTCCAATGTGCGATTTTATCACGAAGAAGGTCATGGTGGAGCACAAACAAGAGGCGACGAGATCGTCTTAGGGTTGTGGAGCATTTCATGATGAGACTTTATTATACATAAAAAGTTTTATTTCCATTACAACAAACATTTGATTTTTATTTCACAAACTTGAAAAAAAAAAACGACAAAATCGTCTTAGGGTTGCGGAACTCTATAGTGTCATGATAAATTATTTCCGTTCAAATAATTGATCTTATCATGGTAATTTTGGCTGTAAATTACTTCTTTTTTATAATATAATACTTAGAAATGATCGTTTAATTAATTTAATCAAATAATGTTAATACTTTAGATTATATCATTTGAAAGTGTACAAGTATTTTTTGAGATTTCATATGTATATACTCATAAATAGGTAGTTGAGTTCGCCCACTGCGAAGTGCTGGTTTTTCTACCCTCCTTTTGGATTCTTATGATACTTTTCTAATCTATTTCCGTCCCCAGCTGTATTGTTTTTTTTTTCGTTACACTACAGTTCTTCCTTCATTCTCGTTATCGCTTTCATTTTAATTTCGTTTCCGTTTTTGTTTTCGGTTTCGTCACTCTCGCTACTGGTCGCATCTCTTCTCGATTTGTTTTGCCTTCGCAGTGGCGAAATTTGTCACCTGCCAGGTTTTGTTTTTTGCACCCATTGGCGAAGCTCGTCACGCGCGACATTCGCTGACGGGAAATACTGTACCCCTCCAGTGGCGTCGAAATTGCATTGCCACCCGCGCCACAGTTTGGTTAAGATTTTTTCCCGTCAAATCGCGCTTCATGTTCAGCGACGCGAATTACTTCATCGGGGGCTCGTTCTAATTTACCATTGACGTCGATTTTCTACCGTTTCGTCGGTTGTCGAGATGACAACTTGTGAAACAAATTGAATATCGAACTTGTAGTATCGTATTACTCCATGCAGCGTGGGCAATATATAAAGAATGGAACGCGCCCTCGAAACGCAAGTTTCGCGCACTGGGAAAGGACACAAGTCCAGTCTGAGTACATATATACAGATATATATAGGACAGTACAAAGTCAAGGTCCTAGCAAGTGAGAGGCTACAGGAACTAGACCGAGCTGTACACAGTGCCGCTGATGATCTTTAGGCGCAAGCGCCTTCGTAAAGATATCAGCTGTGTTGGCACCAGAGGCCAAGTGAACTACGCGGGCCTGGCGACGCTGCTGTAGCTCGCGCAGGAGGAAGTACCGCAGCTGAATGTGCTTCGCTCTGCCCTCAAGTCGAGGCTCCTGACACAGGAGTATCATGGCACTGTTGTCAGCATACAGGACCGAGGCAGAGCTAGGCCGCTCACCTAAGTCTGTGAGCAAGAAAGTCAGCCAGCGGAGCTCCTGTGCCGCCATGGCACCAGCGTAGATCTCAGCCTCACAGCTCGACTGAGCAACAGACGACGAGCGAGTGGATCTCCAAGAGATAGCACCCGAACCAAGGCTAAAACAGTAGCCCTGTGACGACCTGAGCGTCTCAGAGTCATCTGCCCAAGAAGCGTCTGTGTGCCCAGTAAGGACCACTGGCCTGCGTCCTCCCAACACTAACCCCATGCCTGATGTACTTGCTAGATATCGCAAAACCCTCTTGGCTGCCGACCACTGCTGTGGTCGGTGTCTGCCAATGGCCACAAAGCGAGCCAGGATGCTGAGAGGGTATGCGAGATCTGGGCGAGTGCAGGTCATCGGGTACATGAGGCAACCCACCAGCTCTGCGTAGGGGCCGCTGGGCTCTACTGACTCCTCAGGAACAGGAGCGGAAAGCCCGTGGTCTACAGGTAGAGGTGTGGGCTGTGCAGAGGAGAACTGAAGACCGAACCTCTGAAGGACCTGACGCACCAAGTGTGACTGGGTCAGAGTGATGGTGCGTGCTGCTCTGTCCCTGGAGATCTGCAGGCCAAGATAGCGACGCAGCTCTCCAAGATCAGTGCAGGTGTGTCTCTTCAGTAGCTCAGTCTTCACAGAGGCAAGTGCGTCCCTGTCAGGAGTAGCGAAGACCAGGTCGTCTACATAGACAAGGATGTAGAACAGAGTCTGGCCGGAACACACAAAGAGTGAAGGGTCAGCAGAGGACGGAAAGAACTGCAGGTCTGCTAACGTGGCACGTAGCGTTTCGTGCCACTCGCGGGGAGCCTGACGCAGGCCGTAGACCGGGCGCCTGAGAAGCCACTGGGTCCCAGGAGGGAAGGTACCAGTGAAGCCCTGTGGTCGACGCAGGTGGACATGCTCGTGTAGGCTTCCCTGAAGAAAGGCAGTAGAGAAGTCGAGGGAGTGAAGCTCGTAGTCACGCTGTGCTGCTACGTGTAGCAGCGCCCGAAGAGTGGTCATCTTCGGGGTCGGGGCGAAGGTCTGGAAGAAGTCAACCCCCTCGCGCGAAATGAAACCTCTGGCCACGTAGCGCGCCTTAAAGACAGGCGGCTCTCCAGGGGGGCGCTTCACCTTGAAGTGCCACCGACCATCGACTACGTTCACCCCAGGCGGGGGAACTGCGTCGACGTAAGTGCCGGTGGACCTCCAAGATGCCATCTCCTGCTCCATGGCAGCTATCCACTGAGAGGCCCAAGGTCCCGAGGTGGCCTCAGCGTAGGTGCGAGGGGTCGGGATGTCGAAGGCGTCTGGGTCACCCTCAGGGACCAAAAGCATGGAGCAGAGATGGGGAGCAGCCTCGGACAGGAAAGCCAGCTCGTACTGCCTGTCCTCTAGGACGTCATTGCCAAGGGCAGGAGCACCCCCGACGGACGGAGGACGGGTAGGGTCAGAGACCAGAGCGGTAGCGTAGTCAAGGCGGCGGGTAGAGGCGAAGTCAGCGACAAGCGCGTCAAGGCGCGAGACAGGAACAGCAGGGTCGGTAACAAGAGAGGCAAGGACCCGAGGGACAAGGGGACGAGCAGCACGGAGGTAGTCAGAGAACGGAGGAGGTGCAACAGCAAGGGACGAGGGAGGAGGGGACGGGAGGAGAGGAGGACGAGACGAGCGGGAACGGAGCAACATAGGGTGGGTGGGCAGGACAGGAGAGACGGGACGAGCACGGGAGGGACGACGAGCCCAAACGTGAGACGGAGGGGTGGGGTCAGGGGACAGCGGAAGAGACACAGGAGGGGAACGAGGAGGAAGACGGGCCGGAGACGAGTTCGGCGGCGAGAACACAGGACCGTAGACAGGAAGATCAGCGGGCGGTGGGGGAGATACCGGCACGCGGTACGGGGAGGGAAGGTCGAGTAGGCGGAGAGCGGAGACCGGCGGCGACGGCTGCTGCGGCGGCGAAGAAGGCT